CCAATCACAGGACAAGGGCAAAGGTCACACAGTCAACCACGGCGAGTGAACACAGGACGGGGTTCAGTCCTACCAGCTCAGGACAAGACTGGCCACAAAATCTAATTGTTCACACAAATTGGGTTTAAGTCGTCGAATGGCGGAGACTTCAGCAAACTGAAATAAACGATGGTGTTGTTGTCAACTTATGATGCTGAAAGTCTTGCTTTTCTCCACACACAATTTACAGTCTAATATGTGGCAAACAATAGAGCTTTTAAGAACTTTGTCTTCCTTTAGTGCTAGATTGTTGGAAATGTGTTCGAAAATCCTCAGTTCGTCCAACGTATTTTCTACCGCAAATACACTCAAATGGATATATATATATATATATATATATATATATATATATATATACAAGAGGAGGTAACTTGAGGATCAGGCTGGTCAAAATTTGATTCCCCGAGAAGACGCTCGGTTTTGTGCAGAATGAATAATGAGGTTGCATGAAATGTTTTGTGGATTATTTCTTTATGCGTCGCTAGAGACGTCAGTCATTTTTGTCTCCTCTGAACAGGGTGGTCAAGTCGATTTTCTTTTCAAGGGTATTGGGTATTTTCTGTTTAACTGTTGTGTCTTCCGTGTACCTTTTAATACACTTCGAAGGGTATGTACTTTCGAGTAATGACAAAGGTCTTGTTTAATTTCAAGTTTGCCTCTGGAAGTAAAGTCTCGAACCTTGAATCGCATTTGAAGTTCACAGGAACTGGAACTACATGCCAATAACTGCAAAAAGGCATCTATTTGTCCTTTCCTAATCAACCGTGATCGTCCTTACCAAAGTGCATCCAGATTTGGTAGTATCACCAATAAGCAAGCTGTAAGAACAGGTGATTTGGTAGATCCCGGAGCAGTTTTCAACAGTTCGAAAATCGAACATAGGTTATCCAATTTTGTTCGATTGATTATTTTTTTAAAATGGCAAAATCATTAGTGCTCATTATACCGCTTGTGGATCTCGATCAGTAGCTGTCCATTCGTTCCTGATTCTGCTGCTATTTATGCCGGTTTAGTGTGGTGGTGATCCTGGTCTGCCGGATTGACGCATACCACGAAGCGATACGTTACAGTTTTAGGACAACTGTGATCAATTAAGCTCCCCGGGTGACATCAGCAAAGCGCGTACGTGTCAAAGCTTTCAGACTACAAACCATAGGTCGATTGTACCAATCAATCAGAGACCGTGCGGCTCAGACAGAAGCTGAACAACACCATAAATACTAAAAGCGCCGTTGGCAGAAACTTGGATGATCAAGGAACCTGTTTTGTAAAGATTATTTCTTTCTTACAATAAACGAACTACTATTCCTGTGGCTTTTTCCTCGCGTCTCGGTTACGTGGGATACTGTCGTGCAAGTACCAGTATAATCCAGTGCTTACGTTTCTTCCGTGATGGTCGGTCCGTGATTTCTGACTCGTGGTTTCTAATCCCTGATTCGCACTTCGTGATCAGTTACTATGTTTACCACACTCAGCTTAAATTACCATAGAACGACACATTGGTCTGAGATTGAGATAGATACCTATATGCTGACGTGCGTGAGAGAGAGTTTACGTTGCTGCTTTTCTACACCACAGGTGCCTTTGGGCCACCACATCGTGTGTTCTTTCATTTTTCGCAGACCCAATTGATTTTAGAACATTATTTTCGGATCGTAGCACCAGCTACTAAACAGGTTTGTGATAAAGTACAGTACAAAATATATCTCCACTAGCCTTCTTCTCGTCTTCTGAAAATTTGCCAGCACAAATTTGTTGGTTTTAAATTCACATTTAACTCAGTTACTTGTGAGTAGTGGTGTGGAATATCGATTTGAACTGACCATCAAGTTCAGACTTCACCTTCACGCACCATCTTCAGTTCTTCCAGTCAACCATACACTACGAAGTATTAGAATCGAGTATGGCTCTTATTGGAGCTCAGCAGCAGTGCATATCCAATGTCCCGTCTGGACTTTGAACCCCGAATCCATCGCATGGAACACGTGTGCGTTATCACTGTGCCAACCAGCTCGTACCATAGCTGAACCGAAATGCCAATTCAGGTTTGCTCGGGTGTTGTGTTCAGTGACAGACAGTCAGTTCATTTGTGGCCCGACAGCAATAAAAGGGAAACACAGATGACATTCTGTTCACTCCAGTCGAAATCGTCCCACCAAATCGAGTCTTCCGAGCCTACTTTGCTGGATTGATAATTCGCAATTAATTCACAGTTAACTGTGATTTGCGGCGTGAGATAATTGTAATTGGTTTGAAATTAGTTAAAACAACTCACAAATCGCGGACTACAAGGCACGGAATAGATGAACCAAAAAAGCTCAAAATCGCAGAGTAGATAGTTCAACCCTAATGAAAATAGCGCGAACCCATTGACCCAAACGAAGGCTAAGGTACATTGAGCGTAGATATACTGCCCACTGAAGGACGTGGTCTGAGATATTCCCCTGTTCACGTATTCCACAGTTATACAATTACAAGTCCTTTTTGTGTGTCAACTGCTATACTGTGCATCTTTTTTCACTGGAAATATATTTTCATTTACTATTGGGATCATGAATTATTGAAAATGCGCTTCTCTTTTATCTATTTCTATGCTCTGCGTGTTTTCCTTACTACACTCCTGAGATGATGGAACTGGAACGCGCATAGGCGTTCCACGATTGTGGACTAAGCGAAACACGGAATAAATTAACGAGTGTATTGTAATAAGAGCGAATCAAATCTAGGGGACCGTAGAGGACGAATAGGCCTCCAGGCATGTTGCCAAATGGCATACATTTGGTGCTGTGATCAATTGGTCTGTTTGTGTGTGTGTCTCTGTATCTGTGTGTGTGTGTGTGTGTGTGTGTGCGGGCGTAAAAGTACAAACAATTCAGTTTGATGCTCCAATTCTATTACGTGCCGATCGATGTGAAAACATGAAACTGTTCTGTAAGAACCGTCAGCTAGGTGCGTATATGTTCAGTTGCACAATCTGACGGATTAGCCATCTTGAATAGAACTGAATAACCGAATATCCTTGTTTGCAACACCGGGTAACCATTGGATAGACAACTCCTTCAGAGCCAGAACATTGAAGAATCAATGCTATGATTCACTGTTTTGTAAGTGGATTAGGTACTACCACTGCAAAAAACGTGACCTGATGGTCTTGGTAGAATATTTAATAATTAGTAGTATGTGAATGACTGGACAAAATTTCCCTGGAAGCACACGACCGATTTCGCGGTTCTTGCCGCTCGTCAGGCATGCGTATGCGGTAGACTTTTGTCCAATAATCATTCGATGTTGCAAACAAATTTATCGTGACGAAAATACATTTTCTGGGTACAAGTATGTGAATGACCGGACAAAAGACCACCGGATACGCACACCTGACGAGCGGCAAGAACCGCGAAACCAGGGAAATTTTGTCCAGTCATTGACATACTACTTATTATAGAACTGAAAACTATCTACCAGAAAATAAAAATTTTCAAATGTTTGTTCCACACTTTTGACCACACAGTGTTTGTTCGTTTGTTCACTGGCACGGGACTGAGGTGCATACGGAATGTGCTCTCCTTCCATATACATATACATATACATGTATATATATATATATATATATATATATATATATATGCGCATGCTTCACAAAAGTA